ATAGTTTCAGTTCATTCCTGAGCCTGAGCACTTATTTCCATTCCTTCGAATTCATCCTCTGCTGCGTCGTTGTCTTTGTCTTTAGTAGTCGTACCTTCCTGCTCTTGAGCACCGGCATGTGGGCTTGTTTCAGGCAAGGAATGTATAGTAAGCGACTCTGGCTCTGTTTCATCGGACTCTCGCACATGTCCCAGCAATCGCTCGGTCTTTGACAAGCTTACCAGAAGGTCAGTGGACATATACTTGCTCAGAAGTTCGCGCTTGCGCTGTTCAACAAGGGCTTCTTCAATCTTGAATAAGAAACAAGGCAAGAACAAAATTTAGCATAATACTTGTATATATGAAAACTAAGGTAGTGGGTCGTCTATTATAGTTTCAGTCTTCTTTCGCTGTATAGAAGCGGTTTGATCTCGTTTTTGCAACTTGCTCATACATTGATGAAGACTTGGATAAACTCAGTTTGTGCAAAGTCTTCTGCAATATTAAGCAATATTAAGGTCAATGGATTAAGACCTATTTGAATTTGCCCTATTTCGCAGAGTCCGAGAACAAAATTTATATTTTTACTAGTAAAAAAGGTTGATATTGGCCTTACTCACTTCTGAGTGGAAGTGACAAGTAAAGCTAAAAGGACGGGTATCAAATGGATTAATTAGATTGAATTCATATAAGTTGTTTGACCTTGTTTTCGCAACTTGGTCATATTGCTAGGAAGACTTAGAGGAACGTACCTAGTCCGGAGTCCATTGTATGCATGATTATTTCCAAAGTTGGACCGTGGACGTGGTACATTCCCAGACGTTTCGCTGGCATCGTCAGCGAATCTTGCCAGTCTTAGCAGCATACTACAACCCGTGAAAAAGACAAGTGAAGCTGATTCTTTGACCAAATGTGTGCTAAACAGTTACAGTATCTCCTTCTGTCCTGGGCTATTCACCTTTCTTATATTCTTCTATCAAGCCTTCACTATCACAATTTTTTCCTTGCTTATTTAAATCTAGTGTAGTGTGATATGACTTGCTATGCCCTAGTCTCTTTAGCCCAACCCACAAGTGTTGTGGCCCTGCTCGCTTTGATTAGGTTCAATGTTGAACCACAACGTTTGTGGGTTGGCATAAAGAGACTAGGGGATAGCAAGTTATAGACTTGGTATTAGGGATATAAACAAGATAGACGCGGCGGAGACTAGAGCTAGTTGGCTGACAGTAGGCCGGTTTTACCATAGATGTGGTTCATGTAGCAAAGGCTTGACCATGAGACTGACTCCTCGAATTAGTCACCCAGACGCAGGGAAGAGGTAATAGCACAGATTGGGTGGCAGGGGTCGAGTGAAATACTTGAACCAGGGAAATAGCAGACGGATCCTAAGGGACAAGAGAGACTCTGATAAGACCTAGGGAAGGGGGACTGCGTAATAATATGGCAGACTGACCAACATTCTAAGCACAAGGATGAACCACGGTGAGAACATCAGCGTGGAGTGTGGAGCGTTCTCATGAAAGCCGCTCAAATAGATTTAAATAAGCAAGGAAAAAATTGTGATAGTGAAGGCTTGATACGAGAATATAGGAGGTGAATAGCCCATGGCAGGAGATACCATAACTGTTTAGCACACATTTGCTCAAGGGATCGGCTTCATTTGTCTCTTTGATGGGTTGTAGTATGATGTCAGGAATGACAAGGCTCACTTACGATGGCGGCGACAAGTCTGGGAATCTACCACG